AAATAATGTGGCTTATGGAGTCATTTGTCAAATATGGAGCTATGAAGGAAATATATAGAGAGATAATGGCTGAGACAGGAAGAGGAGGGGGGGGAGGGGCAGGGGGATGAGGGATGAAATGCTAATTTTTACCGTCTGTCCCCAGCTGGTGTAGCTGTTTGACGTGTGTGATGAATGGTGTTGCATTGGTACTGCTGCCCTCTCACCTCCACTCATTGTCACCAGACCAAAGACAAAGGGAGTAAAAAAAAAACCTGCAACAAGGGCAATAGATGCTTCCTTTCATCGAGACCCCCCCCCACACACACACAGATATATGCCAGCGCATACACAGCAGCTCCCTTCTCCCAGCACGAACAGACTGATGCAGACCTCCAACCATACGCGCAGCTCACACCCCGACAGCGTGCGTCGTGCTGGAGTGTGCGTTTGCTGAGCAAACTCCTCCTTGCCCGCCTGACCAGTTTGTGCTCTCTCCACAGGCCGCCTGCTGTCTGATGCAACAATTGCACAGCTGTATGAAAGCACAGGCCTCTGGGAGTATGCAGGGGCACGGGCACTTCTCTGCATTGTGCATGTTTGCGGTACATTCTGGCAGAGTTGAGAAATCAGGAAAGAGGAGTGCACACTGGTAAACAGTTGGAAAACGACCCTCTCTATTCTGGAGAGAGACGTTAACCGGCTCTTTAAAAGACAAAATCCCCGTAAGGCAGCCGGTCCGGACTCCGTTTCCCCTCACACCCTGAAGCATTGTACTGACCAGCTGTCTCCGGTGTTCACTGACATCTTCAACACCTCCCTGGAGACATGCCACGTACCAGCCTGCTTCAAGGCCTCCACCATCAACCCTGTTCCCAAGAAGCCCAGGATCACAGGACTCAATGACTACAGGCCCGTCGCCCTGACCTCTGTAGTCATGAAGTCTTTTGAACGGCTAGTCCTGACCTACCTGAAGTCCCTCACCGACCCCCTCCTGGACCCCCTGCTCGCCTACAGAGCCAACAGGTCTGTGGACGATGCTGTCAACATGGCCCTCCACTACATCCTCCAGCATCTGGACTCCCCAGGAACCTACGCCAGGATCCTGTTTGTGGACTTCAGCTCTGCCTTCAACACCATCATCCCGTCTCTGCTGCAGGACAAACTCTCCCAGCTGCACGTGCCCGACTCCACCTGCAAGTGGATCACAGACTTCCTGTCTGACAGGAAGCAGCATGTGAAGCTGGGGAAACATGTCTCAGACCATCAGCACCGGTTCCCCCCAAGGCTACGTTCTCTCCCCTCTGCTCTTCTCCCTGTACACCAACAGCTGCACCTCCAGTCACCAGTCCGTCAAGCTCCTGAAGTTTGCGGATGACACCACCCTCATTGGACTGATGTCTGGTGGGGACGAGTCCGCCTACAGGTGGGAGTCTGACCATCTGGTGTCATGGTGCAGCCAGAACAACCTGGCAAGCTCAACGCTCTAAAGACAGTGGAGATGGTT